TGATTCTTATCTAATACCAGATGGTATGAGTTATGAAGAGGCAGCCGGATTATCCGTTACTTGCCCTACTAGCTACGCTGCATTGGTAACTCGGGCAAATTTAAAAAAAGGTATCACCGATAGTAGATATAAGAAGTGATGATGATGCATTATTAATCTGGGAATTTTGAATTAGATGAATGGTGTCTTGTTCATGCTGCAGCAGGTGGCGTTGGTATAGCTGCCGTTCAGATTGCCAAGGTAACAGAATTAATCGATTACAAGAGTGATTCAGAATTACTGTATATATAACACATTCACTTTGTAAACACGAAGGCCATTGGTGCAAAGGTTATTGCAGCTTGTGGATCAGAAAAAAAGTTGACCATTGCTAAAAGATTTGGAGCTGATTATGGTATCAATTACAACGACAAAGATTGGCAGAAACAGGTGTTGAAAATTACCGCTGGGCATGGTGTTGATGTTGTATATGATCCTGTTGGGTTAATCAGAGCATCTATTAAGTGTATAGGTAATAATATTCGATTGTTCTTTCTCCTTCGTGTCATGTTATATTAATCAATTGATCCTTTCGATTTATGACCAAATACAAAGCTTGGAATGGCCGTCTGGTCGTAATTGGATTTGTGAGCGGAGAAATTGAAAAGATTCCAACTAACCTTATTTTGTTGAAGAATATTTCGATCTGGGGATTATTTTGGGGTGCATATGCCAAGTATGAACCAGAACGAATCCCGGAAGTGTGGGGTGAACTATTTAAGTTATTATCAACGAAGAAAGTAAGACCAGTAATATATGAGAAAATTTACCACGGATTAGATAGAGTTAAAGATGGATTGAATGCTATTTCCGGAAGAGAAACTTATGGTAAGGTTATTATTTCCCTTAATGGTGGAAGGGAAAGTAAAATTTGATTGTTATATCGATTATATTGATTCGGAGGCAAACAAATGAAGATTGTTCGAGACACATCTACGAATATATATACAGAACGATTTAGATAACAAGATGTGTTTACATATGATTGATAAATATTGCAATGGAAAATATGTGCGCATTAATGACTTAAAATCCATTTTTTATTCTTTGCATCATTGAGCATACACGAATAAAAGAATTATTTGGCCTAGGTTGTTTTTCGAGGACTCCGTGTTGTTCGTATTAAGCAAAGAAATTTGTTTTTTAATGTTTCAGTACTGTAATGATCTACGGCGGGCATATGCTGTACTCGTCTGAAATACATCGCGCATAGCTATGAGACAGCTCATTCTTTGGATCGACAAAGTTTAATAATGGTTAGGATGAATCATAGACTTAAAAATAATAATAATATACCTTGTTCCGAATTGACCCGATATTTCTAAAATCCTAAATGGACTAATCACTTAGAAGCATGGATTCTTTGTAGGAATCATACCACATTAATGAGTTAGGTTAATGATCAAAACGTATTATTTCGATATGGCGTAAATTTTATTGAACTTAATATACAATTACTGAAAAATGGCAAGCACCAGTTCTTGGAAGATATTTTACGTGAGAACCAACAAACAATATCTAAATATGCACGAAAGTTGATATTTAATATTTTTAAATAAAAAAGACAGCGAGAATAGAGTATGTATAACGCCAGGGATGCTATACTAAATTTATTCACGTCAAGTATATTTCTCTCACAAGGAACGATCAAACAAAGAAATTATTTTCGCGAAATCATAGTTATATGACGGATATCATAAGTATTCCTATAGTTATTCGTACGGACATTACCGATACGGTACTCAGTAAATGGTTGTTTACATCACTCGTGACCGGAAAAACGTCACAATTTACGTATGTTGATATAAAAGATCCTTCTGCATGGAAATGATGTCAACCTTCATTTAAACGGTTTATGTTACGTAATAAGCATTTTTTTTTTATTATTATTATTGAGGGGAAATCATCAGGTTACGCAAAAATTCGCTATTACTGTGCGATTTCAGCGAAAGATCTTGATAAAATATAATCAAAAATTCGGACATATTGAACATAGCCAGAATGATTATCATAACAACTTCGTGAACGTTCCTATAAACTCGATATGTTCGGGAAAGTGGTAATCCAATGTATTCTTATTTGTGATACAAAATAACGGAATCTTGGAATTCTCTCATTACTTGTCACCCTGCTTCATGTGTGTATCAAAAAAGGAAATCTAATAAAATTCCCATAACGGTACGTACGTAATTGGTTTCTATTCACTTGCATATTGATACACTAAATGGCGTGGTACGCACGCACATCATTTATGATACATTATTTAGAGTGTCATGTTGTCCTTCGCGTAAACTTAATTATCCCAATAGGTAAACCTTAAATAGTGAAATGATTAAAAACCAAAGTATTCGTCGCTTCTCTTTAAGCACATTATTGATACTCATTGATTTTGTGATTTATTTTCTTCCCGTTTTTCTATTGTGTGCACTTCCCAGCATCTATGTTCTGATCTCATATTTGTCTGATAATATCTTTTATCTTTATTATATAATTCTTATAAACAAATACCTTGGCCCAAATTGTAAATTCTCACTTCTCTTTATCTCCCCGTTGTTAATACTAATTCACTTTCTCGTCGTAATTCTTGCCTCACTTGGTTATACTATTTGGCTTACATTGATTTCTCCAATAAAAGTACATTTTGACAAGCAAAACGAACAATACTTTAGAATTTCTCTTGTCGCCGCAATGTCTTATTACACATACCACGCTCACAAGGAGGATGTATGGACTGCATTAAGAGATTCGCCAGCAGTTCAGCCTGCAAGATCTGCCTTAAGCCTTTCATCGCTGATTGAAGAACAATGTAGTGCTGTCATTCCTCGGGAAGTTCATCGTTTGTCTAAATATAAAGGACCTTCCATCGATCTCAAGAGTTGGAGAATCGCTTTATCTGTAGCAATCTTACCTATCTACTTAGCCTGCACCATACCTGCCACCTTAGCCACATTTTTCATATTATTTCTTCCGATGGTATGCAAATTTGAATATGCGCTCTGGAGAGAGAATTATGGACGGGATATTCAATATAATTTTTCTTCCTTTGTTACCGTGGTTGTTGGATCAGTACTCATACCAATACTCGTGCTGGTAGGAGATGCCGTGTTCCTCTGCGTGGTCATTGGTGCAAGTTTGGGTGCTGTACTTATGACGATGTTTAGATCCTTTGATGATGGACTTATGTTCTGCAAGAGGGTTGCTACTTGTGTACCTGAAAGTTACCTCGAAATGATCTTTGGAAACAAGAGGACGTAATTTAAAATGTAAAATCATCCATCACATAGAATGCTTGTTGTTAAAGAACACATTAATTTTTTGAAATAGAATTCGTAATTAATTTTACATAATCCCACACAAGACTCACGTGCATAATGTTCACCATACATGCGGTACTGTATAATGTCGAGGGCAATGGAACACAAGAAATCATTTTCAATCTATTCGCAGTGTTAAACAATTTTATTGATTATTCCATGTAACATTGTACATATTATACTGCATCAGTCACACAATCCTTCACATAAAATGAATCAT